GTTTTAGTGGGAGTTTGTACATTTAGATGCTTTTGATATAGATAATTTTTGTTATTTCAGTTTATGGATATTGGAAAGTTGTTTTCTGCAGAAATAAAGTTTTGATCAATTCACACTCTATTCTTGTTATAGTTTGATCTCATTAAGGTTTAAGGAGGACCAATTGGAAATAGGCATGTTAAGATCACATTACATGAAATTACCATGCCACACATCCACATCATAATATGTGCCATTTATTTGTATCAACATATGTGACCATTGAAGGGTCGAGTTACGATAGTTATAACAAAGGCCGCTTTGATCCTATGTTGATATGATTATTGGACCGGATTGGTTATAGATACACAACAGTCATGACAGAAAGTTGAGCTCATACAGTTATTTTGGCAAAGCATAATTATAAGGTATTACACATAGCCCAAGTGGGAGATTGTTGGATCCTTAATCCAACATTGGGCTTATATGTAAAATAATTATGTGTTGCAGACTGTCATGTGAACTTAAGCCAATTAAAAGTGATCTAATAAGGTAATTAGGTTTTAATGTATCTGATAGGGTGTGGGCCTTTAATGTGTAGAGACTCTAGGGTAATTTCTATTTTTATGATGGGCTAAAATAGAAATACCAAAAAGAAGGGATAACATAGTAGTTATCTATAAAAAGCGGTTATGGTCCCCAGATCACAATATCACAGAATACATAACGTATTCTTTCTCTGGCATCCATCACTTGAGAAAGAGAGATCCCAGAGAAATAATAAAGGACTCTCTAGGAGAATGCGTAGATCTGGAAGGCGTCCGCACGACTCTACATATCAATCCCGCTATGGATTCAGGTACACTTCCGCTAATAAATCTTACAATTCTTAATGGTTCAGCATGTACGATCTATTTAGGTTGTGATGATGTACAACATAATTAGGTTTTCTGTTTCTTACAAAGGGTTCTTAGTAATTAACTAAGCATCAAACTGTTGGTAAATTTTCTAAATGCCAAAAAAATGCTTAGAATTTAAGAACATAATGATAATTATTACAATTCATTACATCGTATCACATGTCTTTGTGATTGATTTACCACTTGTTGTGGCATCGAGCGCTCAATTAGTACGACTCATTGCATCATATTACATGGCTCTCCTCTGGACAGCCTGGATGAAAAATTTGACTGGGAGATGTGGAGTGGTTCAGGTAATTGCTGCATGTTCGGCAGGATGTTCATACTTTCTTGTTGCTATATTCAAAATCTGATTGTGTCAATTCAATTCTAAACTTTTTTTTTTTTTGCCAATTGAGTTCTAAACTTTTTGTTTTTGTGCCAATTCGGTTATAAACATTTGTTTTTGCCAATTGAGTCATAAACCTGTTATATTTGTGTCAGTTCAGTCCTTTCGGCCAATTTTGGCTGGTCGGCTCTGACGTGGACAATTTTTAATGATATTATTAATAAAAGAGAGGTAAAAATAAAGATAAAAATAAAAATAAATTCGAAAATTATTGAATTATTATTAAAAAATGCCAACGTAAGCGCCGGCCGTGCCACGTAGGTCGGTTGGCGTCCACGTCAGTACATCTGACCAAAATTAGTCGGAATGACTGAATTGGCTTTAAGTTAAAAGGTTTAGGACTAAATTGACATAATTACAAGGTTTATGATTAAATTGACACAAATGCAGTAGGTTTAGAACTTTTCTAACACTCTCCCAAGAAAGAGTATACTTAAATGTCTCACTTCGCTTGTTTATGGGATTTATATATTGTCTCCCTCTACATTGCTAAATTTTTGGGTTGAACTTTTTTACATGATATCAGAGTTATATTCTATCTCATCCCATGTGCAGCGCTCTCCATTCGTCCAATCCACGCATCATTCTCAATCCATTTTGCACGTGAGATGGATGTTAAATTTTTTCACGTCACTTATTTACAGCATTTGCATACTACTTATATACATGTCGTTTCCCTTCACCTACCACTTTAAGTTTTTGGGTTGAATTTTTTAACAATAAGTACCTCATTTGTGTTGTCCCATGACAACGAACCAGAGCAGACATGCACTTAATCAATGTGACCGAATCACTTCTTTTTGACTAGCACCAATATGAACAAAAAACAACCCGCATTCAATATTCTATTTCATGTTCATTAATATGAAAAATAATAGAAGATTGCGAATTCAACTGTACAATCTCTACAGCAAAAGTTAGACTTTGGTCATAGATTGTGAGGTTTATTATAATACGAGGGGCGGCAATCTAGATCTTCCGATCTAACTATTAAGACATAAAAAATATCCGTCTAGATACTTTTTTTTTCCGGAGTAATTGACTATATAGAACGGAAAATAATGCAAGACAAAAAGAAGAAATGGAAATGATTTTGAGAAAATATATAGGAGATGTCGCTTTCTGTCACTTTTCACGTTGTTTAGATTAGGGATGATCGGTTCCCGGTCCGGTCCGGTTCGGTCCAACCCAAGAACCGGGAACCGGACGAGGAGGACCGGTTCCCAGTTTCTAGGACCGGGGACTGGACTGGCTAGTCTTAGGACTGTGGACTAATTCCAATGGGACCAATCACTTATTGGTAAAGGCGAGAGGGAATTGGGAAAATTAGATTAGGTTTTCTATTTTTTTCAAAAATTTTAGAAAGTAAATAAATATATATTTAAAAAATTAGAAATATATATATATTTATCGGTCCGGTTCCCACCCTAGAACTGAGAACCGGACCGCCTGAAAACCGGTTCCACTTTTAGGAATCGAGAACCGGACCGATATTTCCAAGAACCGGACCAAACCGATCGGTCCGGTCTGGTCCGGTCCGATCCCGGTTCGAGCGATCCATCTTGCTCACCCCTAGTTTAGATGACGAAACCAAGTTGAGGCCCTTAGTCAACTTTCTTAATTGTTCATGCATGTAGCCTGGTTACGAAGCACCATCGACGAAGGAGGAATAATAATAAAGAGTACAATAGAGTGCAAGTTTTAACTCATGAGAGAAGCATTTTTCGATTCTCGGCAAATCTCCTTGCCTCGAGAATTAGACATATCTTTTTCAAATTTGAATTTGTTTGTTTAAAATCTGGGTTCTTTTACTTTTTTATTATTTTTCTCTCTCTTATTTATTTATTTATTTTATTCCATTCCATGATTCCTTAAATTAAGTCCAATAGGTTTTATCATGTAGAATCTGACCCATTTTCTAATTGAGCGTGTTAGAATAGCCTTGCATGGGATAATTGTTGGATGTGGAGTCGGTCCAACTGAATATGTTAACTGAGCTTACAGGTATCAAGCTTACTCTTATTTTTGTTCAGAGCATGCGGCAAAAGTCCAATAGCTTTAATCATCAAGAGGGAGTCCAAATTCGAGTCCATCAATATTTCCAGTTGGACTTGCTTTCACTCAATCCTTGGATCATAATTTCTAGTCCACCTAGCACATCCATCTCTTTTAGTGTGCATTCTATTCATAACCACGATTCTAATATCCTCTAGAATGCTCATAATGGCCTTGCACCTAGCTTCCACGCACCTCCTGTTGAAAGCTTCACTTAGATTATTACCAATAACATCACATTTAATGTTAGTATCAAAGAAGGCTTTGTACCAGTGTTTTGGCTCAGTACGGAATAGATCGTCATGACCTTGGTGAGTCATTTCCTTCAACCTCTGTCTATGAACCTCAAAATCTGACATATTAGTACTCTTAGCACATTTCCAAAATTGTCTCGTCAACTGCTTTCCTTTGTATTTTTTTCCCCAATTGGAATATATGTGCCTTGCATACATCCTATGTTCTGCATTTGGCAAAAGTTTAGCTACGGAAGGAATGAGACCCTGACAAATATAAAAACAAAAACAAAAGCAAAAGTAAAACATTAATATTGATAAGCGTTGCATACAATGTTGCAATCAATTTCCAAATGAGTCATAAAGAAGCATTGCATACCTTTTGTTAGTCATTTATCAAAGCCCAATCGTTGCCATTACACATATCAAGGTCTGATTTCAACAATTCGATAAATCAAGTCCTCGTGTCCTTATTTTCGATTTTTACCACTGCCCATGCCACTCTGGAACATTTGGTTGTTGGGATCCGTCTCTACAGTACACAATAACTCACCCTTGATCAAATGCCTCAAGAAACATCCATCCAATCCAATGATCTTCCTACATCCAGCCAAAAAACCTTTTCTACAGGCATCAAAGCAAATGTAAGCCCTATCAAATAATGGTAGAGAATCGGCAATGACCTTTCAACTTTTATCTTAAAATTGTTTGCGTGGCTTTCAGTGTAAACTCCCACAAGTAGTCATATATCTGTGCATACTCTTTCTTATAATTGCCTTACAGTTCCTTTAATACTTTTAGGTTTGTCCTTCTACACTGACTCAAAGTAACATTTACTCCCAGCTATTCTCTAACTAATTTCTTCAACTTAGGTGCATTTATTTTAGGCATTGCAGAAATGAGAATCATGAAGTGTTTAGCTAAGTAAGCACTAGACACTCTCTTATTCTCGAAAGTGACACTACATATATGCTCATCTATATACTTTTTCCAATGAAATGACCCAGTCTTGCTATCAAGAGCACCATAAATCATCCAATTACAATTTGTCTAGGCACACCTAGCTCTTACAAATCTAGTTGTGTTCTTGGTATATTTGATTGCTCTTTACTCAACCACAGAGTACCTCAAAATTTCATCTTTGAATTCAGTTGCATCCCTGAATGTCATGCCGACAAAAAATACCGCATTTGTACCATTTTGTTCATATGATGGGAACCTACTTCTCCTCCTTGAAATAGCAACATCAACCTCCTCGTCGCCCTTATCATTCAAACCTGATTGAAGACTTTCTTCCTTATCTGAATAACGGTACTCTGTTTCGTACCCAGAAGCATCTACCGACCGAGCCTCATCCATAATCAGTGTTTGGGAAGTGCCAGTTGCCTCACTATAAGCGCCACTTTTTACCTTATGTCTCGCTGAAAATTCCTTTAATTTTCTCCCTTGCATCAGCCAGTTCAAAACCATCACCGTCACTCAATTGTTCCACATCCACTAAATTACATGCATCATCATCCTCCCCCTCATCTAGATCCCTATTAGCAACCTCAAGCTAATTCTCGTCATCATCAATATTCCCAATCACATTATACAGACCTCCAATTTCCATTTCAGTTTTCATCTCTTCATCATCAACATGCTCAACATATAGGTCAATATTTTCAAAACGCAGATGATGATAAAATAGATCTATCACATCAGAGTTATCCCATAAATACCTAAAAGTTAGCCCGTCTTTAAGAGTTGTACTTCCAGGAACTCTGTAAAAGAGTTTCTCTATTTCACGCACACTCAAAGCCTCAATAGCTTCAATTATATTGGACAATGAACCATTATTTAAGCCTATTTCGATAACATCAACCCTTCCACCTACGTATTCCAATGGCGATCCAACTTGAAACTTACCTCCAAAGAAAACAGTGACATAAACTTTGTTCTCGGCCATTAGACCTACAAGGGGACAAAAATAAAGAGTAAACTTGCCTGAGCAGAAGAAAAATATTGATGATTTAACCGCACAAATAAATATTCTAAGAGAGAAAAGAGCATAAAAACAAATGAGAAAACAAACTCCATTGTACTATAGAGTTAACACTACAATGTACATGATGATGGCTCATTTATGAAGGTCATACTTCAACTGTTGATTAAAAATTTGCTTGCTTGGTTGCAACATGTTCCAGACAACGAACTACTTTAGCACAATCTTTCTCGAAATGGTTGATGCTTGGCATCATATGGCAATTGAGAAGAAATTCTAGGAAACGATAACAAATTCGAAAATTTCATATATAACCAGGAAGAATCTGACAGGCAGTATACACCACAAAAAGTGAATCAAAATTTCTCAATCTTTCGGCACACAAAATTTCCACCATATATGTGGTAAAGCAACTCACTAATAAGGACCAGAAGAGAAACATTTAGAGCTAATATCACGAGTCCAGGCTCAGCTCCACATAAACCAATCAAGAACCGAAGACACGAACCATTTCTCACGTGGTCGCGAATTAAAATTAGGAACCTAAGCAACTACCCTACCCTACCTCATTGCAAATCGCAATGCAAATCGAATCGGTCCGAACACACAGATCTTGACCAAACTAGAATAGAAACACACGCCGCTCGATACCTAAATGCTATAATGCAGAGAGCGATACCGACCTGCACAAGGAGGAGTCCCCGTCGCCGTCGCCGTCTCCATCGTCGAAGCCGCTCGATCCGTCGTCGAGACTCTCGTAGGACAGGTCTTCGCACGAACTCGCGATCAACGAAGAAGAGAACTCGAACTCTACGAACTCCAGATCGCAATTAAACTCCACATAACAATGGGCATCGAACTCCAACTCTCGAGGAGACCCAAAACGCAAGGGAACTCGAGATCATCAAACTCGATTTGGGGCTTAGGGTTCAAAGGGAGACTGAGTGTTAATTTCATTTAGAGGGAGAGAAAGACGACGATGACTCTGGGCATAGGGTTCAGACGACTTCAATTCGGAAGAAGAAGAAGAGATGTTCCAGCAGAGGTTGAATCGGAGCATACTGTTCAGATAAGGAATAAGGAAGGAGACGACGCTAAGGGGAAAGGAAAGAGAGACGTTCAAGAAGAAAGAGGGACGTCCATAAACGACGTCATTTTGCATACTTGGATATTTTTGCTTAAACAATTTTTCACGTAGGAGAGAGAAATGATTAATAAGCGCCACGTCAGCGTTTTCCGTCAGTAAATTTAACGGTGTTAACTTTAGGACTCGATTGAACCAATTTAACAAGTTTTAGGATTCGATTGCACTTTTTGCAAGTTTTAGGACTCAAATGCACTTTTGTGACAAGTTTAAGGTTGTAGTGCACTTGTCCCTTCATGTTATATGTTGGAGTCACGTCTATTTGCGTGACATGAGTTCCGAGGTAATTGCCGTACCAATTCTTATGTTGCAGCGTATTTGTACACTTTTTACGTACTATTTCATGCACACGAAAATCGTGCGATCGCACTTCCTACTCTAGGAAAAGTACTTTGCCTTATGCAGACCACATGTGATCACGTGAGCCTACTAATACAAATTATGATAGATTCTTTCCAAAGAAACTTGCTATATATATGTATGTATGTATGTATGATATGTCGATGCCTTTTTCTTATGTAAAGAAGACCGATGAAACAAAGAAGGTCTAGTTATCATTTTGCACAAATCTTAGTAACCTTAGGTTCATCAAAACCCCCCCATTCACTCAATCCACCGCCACTTGTGGAAGCCACCATCACCACCACTCGTCCAAACCACCATTACCGACACCAACACCATCCTTAGCTCTCTCTCTCTCTCTCTCCCAACAAATACTTCTTCTTTCTTTCTTTCTTTCTTTCTTATTTTTTTTCATGGACGTCAGTTTTACAAGAGTTTTGAATTTCGCACTATTGCTTGAATTTTCAAAATCAAGGTATTTGTAATTGATTTTCTATTTTACATAATAAAGAGAGTGATTTTTCAATTTCCATTTAATTTATTTAAGGTAATGGTCCTTTTCACTTTTCTCTAACATTAAAAGAAGGGCACGCTTGATAACCAAAATATAACATAAAAATTTCACCCAATTCCCATTGTATTTTACATTGAAATATCATATTCAACTAAGATCTTTCTCTCATTCTCTTCTCCTATATATGGAAACGAAATAATCAATAAAAAAAATTTCCTGTAAAAAAAAAGGAATGTGTAGTTCAGTTGGCCTTGAATATGTGTAATTCCGCTATCATTTTCCAAGTTATTGTATTTTAAATTTATCTAAACTGAGAAATTGTTAAATTAAAATGACCCCATTTAAAAATGATTTAACCAAAAATAAGTGAATTATTTATATTCTCCCGATCTCTTGTCATTCCTTTTGTTTTATTGGAAGTCAAAACTAAAGCTCTTCCACTTTCTAGGACAATTAATGAAAACGTCTGACCATCAATTAATTTGTTATTATTTCAAGAATTTTTGAAAAAAAATTTCTTTGGATTTTTTGTTATTAAAATAGTTAAATTATATAGTTTTAGGGGAAATACCAAGTTTGGGGGGCCAACAATCGTCCGACTACCACATCAATTACTAATTTTTTCTGCCAAACGATAAATTAATAAATTAAAAGGTTAATACCATGAAAAATACCAAACTTGTACATTTATGATAAATTTACCATAAATTAATTTTTATACCACCAAAAACCCCAAACTGGTACATTTGTGACAAATCTACCATCCGTTAGTTTCCTTCAAATTGGACTAATATCACGAAAAATTATAAACTGGTACACATGTGACTTACGGAGGGTAAATCCCAAACCGGTACACCCGTTAACTGTCATGTGTCATCCAACTCAGCAATTTGATGGTAAAATTCTGACGGAAACTAACTGAGGGTAAATTTGTCATAAGTGTATCGGTTTGAATTTTTGGTGATCAAAAAATTTAATTTGGAGTAAATTTATCATAAATATACCAGTTTTGGATTTGTCGTGATATTAACCCTGAATTAAAATACACCTTCAGTCAGTCTACGATGGAAGGAAGGCGTGGAGGCTTGAGAAGAGAGGCGCTTGGAGATGTCAATCGCGGTCGTTGGTGGAGTTGCTGGCGAACGGCCAAGATATTGTCAGATCGATCCTTCTCAAAACTTAGATGTCAATACATTGTAGAAATCATGACTGGTCTATTTTTTTACATTAAAATTTGTATTATGTTACACAAATTACGCGAAAATAGAAAAATCACTATGTTTTAAGGACTATAATCGTTATATCGATAAAAAAAATTGAATATCAATGCCTTTCTTTAAAAAAATTAGTGATATGAAATTCGAAAATTCTTCTTAAACCTACGTCCATGAAAAAGTTAGGGTTAATACCACGAAAAACTCCAAACTGATACACTTGTAACAAATTTACCTCAAAGTAATTTTTTGACCACCAAAAACTTCAAACTTGTACATCTGTGACAAATTTACCCTCCGTTAGTTTTCACTAAATTTTACCATCAAATTGCCGAGTTGGATAATATGTGACAGTTGACGGGTGTACAGTTTTGTGTTTTACCATCTGTTTGTCACAAGTGTACTAGTTTGTAATTTTTCGTGATATTAATCTAATTTAACGGAAACTAAAGGAGGGTATATTTGTCACAAATGTATCAATTTGGAGTTTTTGGTGGTCAAAATATTAGTTAGGGTAAATTTGTCACAGATATACCAGTTTTTGGGATTTTGGTGGTAAAAAATTTAGTTTGGGATAAATTTGTCATAAATATACCAGTTTGAAGTTTTTTGTGGTCTTAAGCAAAAACGAAAATACGTTTAAACATAAACAGAAAGTTGAAAACCATCTACCTACAAGCTCCACCTCTTTTTACTAATTATGATTAATTTTTGTTGCATGAACATATATGTGGATGTGATTCCCATTCGTCGCCATCTCTTCATTTGAAATTAAAAATATTTCCCACTTTTTTTTTAACTTTTTATTTCAAAAGGTTTTTCCTTGGGAAAGTGAAGATATGGGCCAATTCAGTGCAATCTAATCTAGTTTTGTATTTCGTTTACATGAGATTTTGTCGGACCACTGTTAACTATTCTAAAAATTTAAGCTGTTAGATGAATGCGTTATTTAATATTTAATTACTCTAACAGTTTATGTGCAATAAATAATAAGCACACCTAAAAAATAAACACCCTTTCAATTCCACTACATACAGACCAAAAAAAAAAAAATTCCACTACATTATACTTCGCCATAACTCTCTCTCTCACCCTAATCTATAAAAAAACAAAACCCAAAGAATCTGTCAATTAGGACGCGTTTGGTAACGCTTCTGTTTCTCTATTTTTCTGTTCTTCTGTTCCCTGGAACAAAAAAAGAACAGAAATCCGTTTGATACTGCATTTTATTTTTCTATTTCCTGGAATAGAAAAGTGGCCAAAAAATAGATTTGGAACAGAAATAAGAAGTAGAAAAAATCTACTTCTTTGTTCTTAGAAATAGAAATAGAAATAGAAAGGTCCGGTCCTCAAGCTGCGACCTCAGCTCCTCCTCCATCCTCCGTCGTCTGCAAACCGTCTCAAAGCACCGGTCCGGTCCATTCTCGGCCGAAATAATAAAAAAATTATAAAAAATTAATTAAATTATAAAAAATTCCAAAAATTCCAAAAATTCCAAAAAAATCAGAAAAATTCTCAGAAAATCCATAAAAATCAGAAAAACTCAGAAAATCCATAAAAATTTGCAAAATTCCAAAATTGAAAAAATTAAAAAAAATTCATAAAAAGCTTTCTGGAAAATAAAAAGAGACAAATTTCGGGAAAGTAAAAAGTTTTAATAAACTTTTCCCCAAAAAAACAAAAATAAAAAATTCACATAATGGCTTAGAATAAATTAAAAAAAAATTTGAAAATTCATAAAAATTAGAAAAATTTCAGAAAAATCCCATAAAAAATTAGAAAATTAAAAAAATTCCCAAAATTCATATAAATCAGAAAAATTCTCATAAAATCCATAAAAATCAGAAAAACTCAGAAAATCCTTAAATATTTGCAAAATTTCGAAATTGAAAAAATTAAAAAAATTTCATAAAAAATTTTCGGAAAAATAAAAAGAAACAGATTTAGGGAAAGTAAAAAATTTTAATAAATTTTACCCCAAAAAAATACAAAAAAATTCACATAATGGCTTAGAATACCTGCGGCCACCCACTTTGAGTGAAATTTAAATTTTTGAGGTGCCCAAGTGGTATTTTTGAAGATTCCTTAGTTGAGGGATTAAAAGGGGTTTTAAACCCCTAAAAAGGATTAGACAAACCAATAAATCATGCTTATTGGTTTTTTTCACTTATAACTTGTACTTATAGTTAAATAAAAGATATAGATTTGAATGCAAAAAATTGGGAATAGAAATTTTGTGCAGTTACCAAACGCATTTATGTTCTTTTACCAAACGCATTATTTTGCTTAGAAACTCTTCCAGGAAATAGAAATAGAAAAAACTATTTCTGAAAAGAAATTATTCTCAGAAATAGAAACGTTACCATACGCACCCTTAGTCTACCCATAGACTGTTGTCTTTTAGATAGGCTACTCTTCCAAGATGACATAATCGTATTGATGGATCATCAAGAGAAGATTCTTTTGTCTTATAAGAAACATGAAGGAAGACATTGATGTTTGATGATAGTTCATGAAGCAATTCTTGTTTTGGATTGGCAGGTGCATGCACTTATTGTCCCAAAGCTGTATCCACAGCAATAGATAATTCGAGACAAAAACACACCACAGCGAGATTAACACCTAAATTAAAGCTCGGATAATAGATGTTAAACACTTCATGATTTGTCATCTAGCGTCCATGAGATCTTTTTTGTCCAATTGTAAATCATAGAGATTCATCACACTAAGTGATCATGCCATGTTTTTATGTATATTCATTAGGGGTGAGCATTGGACTCGGACTGGATCGGCCGATTGTAGGCGATTCCTAGTGCCTAAAATTTCGAACTGGTGATAATCGGTTCGGTTCCCAATTCTTATGAACCGGATCGATAATTTTTCTTTACAATTCTTATTATTAAAATGCATTTCTTAAAAAAACTAATCGAGCTCTCATTTTGCTTCTTTCTTGTTGTTTTTGTGGAACAGTAATTTCATCCCCTTTTTGAACGAATTAATTGGAATTTGGCTAATTGCAATTGGAGTTCAGCCTTCGTGTTTTTTGCCCGCTCATCCAAAGTGAATGAGAACGTGATGAAGATGGCCCTAATTGATGGAGATAGAGTTGACAGATTATGATGGCAAAGCTGGCACTGACAGATGGGAACAGTGATCAACGAGACATCGCATTGTTATCGAATCTTCATGTTTACAACAAAAGGATTTAAAATCCTACAAAAGGGCTTAAAAATTGCAAGATCAAGGCTTTAATCAAAGCTTCTTTCTTCTCTTTTTGTGTATGGTCATGATCACAACAGTGCAGTGAATTAAGAAACTAGAAATCACGATTGATGACATTTGCACATTCATTACCTTCTCCGACCTCTTATCAAGCTTTTGAGATAAGTTACGATACTGCACACGAATTCATTTAGGGCCCGTTTGGTAACGTGCCAAACAGTAAAAATTTCTGTTCTTTTGTTCCCAGAATCAATTTGGGAACAGAAATTCGGTTGTTTAATTTTTTGATTATGGGCACAAATTTGCAAGAATTTGTTCCCAGAATTAGTTTTGGAACACAATCAAGAATAAAAAAAAAATGTCCGACGTGAGGGCTGCCCTCGCCGGATCTGGCGAGATTAAAATATTTTAATAAAAAAATTTATTAATAAAAAAAATTTACTGACCATGGCTTGCGACCAGGCCAGGGCCCAAAAAAAGAAAAAATATTTTCAATAAAATGTCTTAATAAAAAATAATTATTAACAAAAAATATTTTACCTGCCATGGCCAAAAAAAAATATATTTTACTGGCCATGGCCAAGAAGGAGGAGAAGAAAAAAAGAAAAGAAAAAAAAAAGAAAAAAGAAAGAAAGAAATATTAAAATATTTAAAAATATTATTAATAAAAAGAAATTTTGTGCCGTTACCAAACGCATTTATGTTCTTTTTCTATTTTAGAAATGGAAATTTTGGGTCGTTACCAAACGCCTTCAAATGCTCAAAATCAGTTCCCGGGCATAGAATCAAAAAGAATTATTTCTAAGCAGAATCAGTTCCTGGGCATAGAATCGTTGCCATGCGTACCCTTATAGGTCTTTCTCGATATATGTAGAGCAAAAGGAAAACATTTTCAAAATTGTGAAGCACTGCGTGAGGAGTAGCAATAGAACAGCTTTATTCAATGTTTCCAAATTCGAAGGTGTTGGACCCTCTTTTGAAAAAAAAATAGTATTTAAAAAATGTGCTTTCATTATTAAAATATAAAAAAAATATGAACATGCAGACTAAGATATTGGATAAAAATTGCACGAAATGGAGATGTAATAATATTTTAAGAGAACTAAGACAATACATTCTACAACTCAAACACGGCAAACTAGTATACGAATAATATTTAGAATTTGATATTCTATAACTACACTTCGCCGATCTAATATTCTTTCTTATTTTCTTTTATTTTCAAATAAATATCTTTATTTATACTATAAAAAATCATGTAATTTTTTTATATCTTTTAAATATTTATTTTGTCTATATCTTTCAAAATTTGATATTCCAAGTCTGGAAAAAAATGAATATACTTTCTTTCTTTTCAATTAAATAGTAGAGTCTACCCGTTGTGAAAGACAAATATATATATGTAGCTCAAGCCATATCTCTACTACATGTGTAAATATACTACATATGTAAAGTAAATCGAAGAAAGATTTCGACCTCAATCTTTTTTTCAAGAATTTCCATACAAGCCCACGCAAAGTTGTCGTCATGAATTTCAGTTTAATTCCCTAACCAAAGGATAAAATCAAATTCAAGTTGATACGGACAATTTCTTACCTTTTTGAAATATAATCTATCTCGATGATTTAGTATATCTTTTTCTTGAAAGATCTCAAATTTTGAAAAGTTATTTCATTCTTTATTTAAAACTTTTTTCACTGTTTTGTACACAAACAACGTGTGTTGTTTTTTTGTTAGTTGAAAAAAAGAGAAAAAACAATTACATGTGCATTTGATGCCTTGTCTTTAGTCACAATCATTTGCCATCCAAATTGAAGATTGGATCTAGGGTTTTCTTGTTAAGTGAAGTCATTTTCCTTTGACCAATTTATTTTTCCATGTTAAACACTGAGAAATGGAAAAAGAAGAAGAAGGTTTTACGGTATAATAACATCCTCCATACAAGCACAGCCTAGTTGGAACGGACGTTAAAACTATGTAGCTTAATTCAAGCCCAAACAATAATATATACACTAAATGAGTTAATCTGAGTCGAGCTTGACCTACTAGAGATTTCCCAAAGTCGGAGCTTGAACTTAGGTAATCAAGCTTGATCGCACATCTGGATCTATTATAGGGTGCCTGATAATCGGGTTTTGTCAGGCTTGAGGTTTACTCAATTTGACTCATTATTTGACCAAGAAAAAAGCTTAAGTCAATTACACTCCATTGTCCGCTAATCTAATTTCTGCCTTTTGTGTTTGCTCTTTCCACGCTATTGGACATTAGCGACTTGCGTGTAATGTACCATGGGGACAGACTCAAAATTAAGCGAACGCTACATCGTCGTCACTCATCAATGCCTGTAATGTCGGACTAAGCATCATTCATCAAAGATTTTAACAAAGAGGTTGTTAAAATTATATTGACTGCGTGGCATCTATTAATTGCAGACCTTAAGCTGCAGTAATTTTTTATGGCCGTCGCCTTCTGGGCTCTGTTTTCAGATCCAATTCTAGGTAAATCTGCCGGAAAAATTGATAGATGCTTTGATTGAAGAGGTAACATATGGGTACTTTGGTGGTAGTATTTAAGGTGAAACTCAGTTTTTCTTTTGTCTGCTGTTCTGGTTTCTGGAAAAGGACGCCTCATTCATGAATTTTTACTTAACAAGTAAGCATCAAGAATTACAGTATTACTATCCCAAGACATACTAACATTCTATAACCAGAAATCTAATGCGTGCGTCCCCCCTCTCCTAACCCACACCGCTAGAAATCATCATAGATTTCTTAGATAACATCTTTCATTTTACAAGTTGAAGCCGAGACTCGCCGTACCAGTCAAATGCGAATACTAATTGATCAGATAAGCATGCGACAACACCGTATTGTGGACCTAGAAGGTGCGATAATTTTCTAATAAGCATGTGTTTCCCTCATGCTGTTTCTGTAGAGGACTGCAGCTACATGGACTGTATGCATATGAATCTTTTAGTATTTCTGGATTGTCTCCACCCCATTTAGCATTAAGTCGTTTTGGGGGTAAGTATCCTGAAGGCAGATCAGGGTAATAACTTCTTCCTTTGTTAAGCCACAACTTACTTGGAAGATTTGAGATCCCGATACCAACCGGCGTTGTCGAACTAATTAGAAATCAATATATCTTTTTCTTTTAGCAAATGTAGCTATAGCGAATGAATTTTATAGAAAAGTATTTAATTGTTTTTTTTTCTCATGGCTTCATAATTTAATTTTAAATTAAATGAATTTACTTTACGATATTTATAGATATATATTCAACATGGCTATCATTTTAAAGATTCCAAAATGATTTTTCATACAAATTTCGAATTTATAATAAACAAGAGATTAAATACGTTGACCCGTTGAGTGACAATCAATAAATTAAAATTTAGAGTTTGAAGGTGCGCAGCTTCATCCGCGGTACTAATTATTTATGACAGATCGATTCTCAAAGTTAAAAATTTGTGCCAAACGTAAAAAATTTATTGTAAATAAAATAGGTAATAGGAAGATGATAATGACTAGGCAACCATTAGGTGTAATGTGGCCATGAGAAGATTTATAATTTGGGAAATAATTTTCTAAGAGATTTATTTTTGAAATTACTTATTTACAGAGATACAATTTAGAAGAAAAGTCAGCTAGAATATGCACAATATATCGAAGAAATATTTAACCCGATTGATTTCCTATTCCGGATGTGTGAACAATGCCCTTACAAATCTTATAAATTGACACAAGCACCAGAAGCTGCGGCTACGACACTATCTGTTGGTGATTTCTGCAAAGATGGTGAAGCTCTCGCTCTTCTTCGTCCTGGTGATGCTTGTTTCAGGTTCTTCTCTCTCCTATCTACGTGATCTCTTCTTCCGTTTCGCTGGCTACGGTGCATCGAATACGTGCTTACATTCATGTCTTTCATGTATTTAGCTATTTCAAAGCTATAGCTCATGATGTGGTAGAGTGTATGATAGGCATAGTTTTTTTAGTTCCTTCATGTAACATCACCATGCACGGGTGGATCGCCCTTCGGAAAGGCGGTATTTTAACGTGATGGGCCGACCGGACGTGTCTTTATAGTGCGGGATCCTTTGTTCATGTCAAAGGCACGAGTTGATGAGTAGTGTGTGATGCCCCTAGTTGCTCCCCCGCAGGTCCTTGCAGCAGCAACCGCATACGTGCTGATGCGCAAAAGTTGTGCGAAAAGATCATCGAACGACGCGGCTGCGAGTTCTACAATTGCACGAGGCACTGTTCCGAGGAGTTCGGTTCGGTCAAGGCAAAATGCATTCGTAATCCTAGCAATCGCGGGTTTCACGCCTGCGCCTGCTACGTCCCTTGTTGACATTGGTTTTGGATTTGTGTTGGCCATCTCTTATTAGAGCTCTGTGGTCTTTGCTCATGCCGGTTTTGATAACGGAAATAAATTGTTGCCAATGTTAAAGGAGTAGTACTCGTTCTCTCGCATGGTATCAACTTCTCAGATAATGGACATGCAAACATGGAGTCAGTAGTCAAATCAAATCCTTTGCATTGCCAAAGTTGTAGATGACATGCGTTATCGTCTCCCATATCACCCCCAAGCCATCCAACACACGACTGCCGAATTCATCTTACAGTAACCCGGCAGGTACATGATGAGGCATTCTCCGCAAAGCCATTAAAAGGCCTCTACCATGAGCACGGCCGTGAATAATCAATTATTAATTTACATACTAGATGATACTGACAAAACTTGCAGAGTTGCTGCACAAGACCGAAATGACCATAAATCAGAGTATGCGTGTACAAAATCCACTCACATGCTCACCAAAATTGTAAGTTCACACTTCTGTTCGAATGAATTGTCGACCTTTGTGGCTCTCTTGTAGCCTCAATCAGTCGTCCCAGTAAGTTATCAGCGTGCATATGTGATCTAAAAACGACGTATATCAAACCCATAAGGATATGCCTATGTCCACTTCGGGGATAGTTCTTTCCACGTAGTTCTGGTCGACATCCATCCCAGTCCAGGAAAGAAATCAGATCGGTAAAGGATTTCTGCAAAATGTATTAAAAGATTACAAGAAAAGAGAAAAGAGAGATGCGGACAAGGAAACACACATCTTAGACAAGAAACGTTTGATAAGGCTGTGAAGATGAATAGACGAAGCTTCAAACTTGAAGCCATGGTAAAATAACAACCACTTAACTTCAGCAGCATCTTCAAATGATATTTTCACATGTGGTAGGCAGTGTGTAATTACTTATCTTTGCCACTTACGTAAAAGTCATTGTCCATTTATCCCAAGCAAAGTTCCAAAGCTTTCGAGCACATTCGAAAAGGAAGAGAAATAAGATCGTGTGCACGCATGAAGATGTTTAATATAGCACTCAGAACCACGGACTGCAAAAGACCTCTTTTGTTTCGTTTCTTATTTCTTGGTGGGAAACTAAAGAGGCAGAGTTCATGAGAATTTACCTGGATCATGCACGAATTGCTTTTGCCCATTGTCATTCCATGACGAAACAGCCATAATGGTCCTGACATAGTTCGAGATGGAAAATTGCAGTAAAGTTCATAATGTGCGTTTTCCTCCGTAGAACTCAGGTTCGAGCCTAGGCCCAATAATTTTATTTTTAAAATTCGAAGTATTCTCTAACAGTTAGTTATTATATATTTTAATTCAAATATCCAATTATAGCTTAGGATTTCCAGAATTCATACCTATCCTTTTCCATGAGAGCTGCTGTAGCCTCAAAATACTAAAAAAAAAAAAAACAGGTGCAATCTCCATATCATCCGCGTTCAGGTGAAAGATTATGAATAGGCACTTCGCTTTAGATGTAGTGAAAGCTGTTGGAAAATGTGCTCCTCTAAATTGTAGAAGAAAAGAAACTTCAACTTCAAATGGGATGAACAATGAAGTGAGACTTTGAGGCGTGATATCACTTTCTTTAAGGAATTATTTACCTCACGAAGTTGCTAATGGTCACCGGCAAATTTCCTCCAGGATACAACAAAGTCTCGATTGAGAATACCGAATAGCAATTTCGATATATCTCCAGGGTCTCTCTAGGAAAACAACTAGAAAAGATGGCTGTATATCTCTTGGAAGAAATAGAAAAAATGGTTGTTTTTTTAATGAACAAAAACGTTGAAATATTTATACGTTGAACAAACACAACCTTTCGAATGTAAAGAAGTTATGTCTGAACAGACACAACCTTCCAAAGGTTATGAGAGAGCCTAATTACCATTAGGCAGAAAATAAAAATTCGAAATTAAATTATTAAAAAATAACCGACACTCTATTGCGAACAGTCACACTGTTTCAATATGATAAGACAGTTATTTTATAATAATAAATTCGAAATTTAATAAATAAATAAAAATGATCGTTGATTAGTGCCAAATCTCGTCCACGTGCACACTCACATCCTTTCGATGTGGGACAAGGCACCTCATTGTTTGTTTTCCAAACAAACTACCAACAATCCCCCACTTTGTTTGTAAAACAAAATTGAAATAAAACGTTAAAAATATACGGCCAAAATTTCTGTGAGATTAATATACATAAATAAAGGTCTCTTTCGAGTTAAACCTTTACTTAGTGCAAGTATCTCAAAACTCTATCAAAGTGACAAGTAGCTCGGCTTTAAACTTGTACTTTTAAATAATAGAATCGGACATACCACACATATAATAACCTCTTGTTTCAGCGAGAAGTTCTATATTACTCAGCACTATTATGGCCATGTGCTTGTACCTGTTTCATGAGCTCTCTAGAAAGCAACCCCAACTTTCGTAAGAAGCGGCACCACTTCTAAGCTCATATAGGTGAAGTATCTTTCATGTGTTTCTGTTACTAATAACACATTTGAACCACACTTCATTAAGAATTTAATTCAACCTACAAACATAACAGAAGATATTGACTTCTCATGTCAGGGCTCATGTCAGTATCAAACAATCACTTAGTAACTTGTTTTTACCCATTAAACCTTGTAACTAGTGATGTTCTAGAAAAAGGTCGGGTTACCATTACTGGTGATTTTAATTAAAGGGTTTCAGCCTCGTTTCTTGTGAGATCATATTTACCATGTCTCTTGGTAAAGCCTTTGTCAAGGAATCAGCTAGATTATTGTTTGACCTCACGTAGACAATTGTTACGGTACCATCTTTAATCAATTGTCTCACATACTCATGCCTTAGGCTAATATGTCAAGACTTATCATTATAAGTGCTATTATAAGCTCCTGCCAAAATAGCCTAACTGTCACAATCAATAGAAATATGAGGCATAGGACTAGGTCATAATTTGATATCCAACAACAAATTCCTAATCCATTTAGCCTCTTTCTCAGTTGTTACTAAAGTAACAATTCAAATTCTATAGTTGAGTGAGTTATACACATTTGTTTCTTGCTCATCTAAGAAACAGCACACCCATCAAATGTGAAAATCCACCTAATAGTAGATTGTTTATCACCCACGCTTGTAATCCAATTAGTATCGATGTATCCTCCTAATACAACCGAATAATTATTATAGAACAGTCCCAAACTTTTTGTTCTCTATAATAACAAAAAAATTCGGGTAATAGCTTTCCAATGTTCTATACTTGGATTACAAATATACGTACTCAACTTACACACGAAATAAGCAATATTAGGTCTAATACAATGCATCACATACATTAAAGACCCTATAACACTTGCATATTCAAGTTGTGCTACTGCTTTACCAGTATTATAATTTAATTTAATACTGAAAGCAAATGGAGTACTCATTTCTTTGAAACCAAGATGTTGAATTTTATTCAACTTTTTTTTTAATGTAAACACTTTGGCTCAAAGAATAACCCCCACTATGTTTTTAACTTTAATACCCAAGACAGTATCCACTTCACCCAAATCTTTCACTTTAAAAATGAAAGTCAGATACTTGCTAGTCTCAATGACTCCGGTCATATTGGTTCAAAAAAAATAAGCATATTATTAACCTATAAGCACACTAAAATATCATGAAAGAAGAAAAGCAACTTGCACATGCATTCTTCTGTTCCAAGGCCTTAGTGTCCTTTGAATCAATAGTGCAAAAACATTTTGAAAATGGTTAGCAGAATAGAATCAGATGTCTTGTTGATGAAAGTCATGCATACATGTCTTGGAAGCTCAAGACAACTATGGTTTGCTGCACCAGGAGACATCCAGAGACAGTAAGCCACCATAAGTACCTACAATCATCTTCATCTTCCACTCTGCTCCTCCCAAGTAATTGTTCGAATTTCTCATTCAAAACTTTCCAGTTTAAATCATAAAGCAGGCAACCTACCTCTTACAGGATGAAGAGTCTCATATATTTATGATAAATTTATCATAAAATATTATAAATCGATACACTTATGATAAATAAAAAATAAAATCTCAAGTTAATATATTCATCAACTGTATTCAACTTAATAATTCGACGATAAAATTTAACGAAAATTAATGAAAGATAAATTTATTATAAATATATCAGTTAAAGTTTTTCATAATATTGACTTTAGATCTTATGGAATTCTCGAAATGGATTCAATCTCCCATTTCTCCAAAATACAAACAATTTTACGATTTATCTATTCATTTTAGGTTTTCACGCGCGTCTTTCGGTCAATTTTCGTAGGTCCGGGTTTTTTTTACCAGGGTCTATAAAATAAAGTGGACTTTCTCGTCATTGGACGATGTCCTTAATAATTGTGCTTTTGAGATCGGGATTCTCGGCGGAAGAAGGAGGAAGGTTGGATCTCTCTCTCTCTCTCTCTCGGGAAGTGAGATTTACTCACGACAGCTGCATGCAAAGAAGATTTGAGTTTCCGTTCAGGTGGGCTTGGGACGACCTAACGGGGCCTACTTTTTTTTTTTTTGGGTCGAACACGGGGCCTACTTGGACTTGCGTTTTCTGGGGCAAGTTGGGGTGAGGGCCACCACACCACAACACTTTGCGTGCGTGCGTGTGCGTGCAAAAAGACGGAGGAGGGACGATGATACGTTTAGCTCCCGACAACGGAGCACTTTCGAAGCAATGGGATATTATATATTATTCTCAACGTTTAGAGTTTACCAACTTTGTTTTTTACTTAAGCCTAATAGAGACTAGATTCCGTCGTATTATACGAAGGAGCTCTCGACAATATCACTCATTGGCGTTCCCCAGTTCAAGGTCAAAGCGTCCAAGCTATATCCAAAAGTGAAGTATCGAGCGTGGTGCTGTACTTCATGATTCAAATACTAACCTGACTGCTGAAAAATTTTCTTTGTGCAATACAATTTCTTGAACCTCTCCCGCCGTGGGTCATTCGATGCCTTGTCAATCTAAAAGTATCAGTTTGTACAGAAAAAGGGTAATGGTGAAATTTATGATTAATGTATCCACAGCGGGAGACACCTTAATAAATAGAGACCCCTCTTCCATTCTTTTTATTTTATGCACTACTGGAGGCTATGAAGTCTTAGCTTGGGTATGCTTGATTTGGTATTTTGTCCAACACTAATCTTACGAAAAAAAGGTAAATTCCAAGTTGAAATATGATCACAAAGGCAGTCGATCCCTTTGCCGCAAGAGAATTTTCGAAAAGAAAGGTTAACCCAAAGTTGAAGTATCTAACGATTTTTTATACTAAAGTTGCATTATAACTTATTGTTGATTTATTATTTAAGATTGAAAAGGTCGCACTATAAATTTTAACCCGTGACTACACAAAAGGAAATAAGAAAGGATGGTAAGTTTGCGTAATAATTTTTTATTCTACAAAGAGTTCGTTTTAATGGACGTATTCTTAATTAACAAACATCCTTTCTTGGACCATTGCGGTGCCGATTTTTGGTTTGTATTGCTTTACATGGCAACAAATCCATTGCTATCGTAATAATATCTGCAAAAAAATACTAATATATAGTAATGATTAATAATTAGTAAGTTAATTACGAAATAACAGAGTTTTTTTTTTTTGGTAATGACGAAATAACAGAGTTCATCTATGTAAAGTCCAATAACAGATTATTACCTGCGTTAGTAGTAAAATAATCTAGAAAAAATAATTTTACCTCTATATAGTTTACCAAAATAATAGATTATCATTAACTTTACCAATTTCTGATTTTTTATGAGACGAAAATTAATTTAGGATAAATGTGTCATGGGATACAAGTTGGGAGTTTTTTGTTGGACGGAAATTGATTTCGGATAAATGTAGCTTGAGGTTCCAGTTTGGCATTTTAATAGTCTTAGCATGAGAAAAGTTCGGATCACAAATTTAGCATCATGTTTACACCAATAGAGTTTTATACCCGCGCAATCCTAGTTATAATTTAAATCAAAGATACATATAAACAAGCTAAGGAAGTTAGTATCCTAGGACACTCACCCTCAAGTTGGTGTGGGAAAATCCACGATGCCTTTTACTTCTTAATAGCATCATTAAAAGATTTGCGAGTCCCTCGAAGAAATTACCAATGATACTTATTAATTTCTCTCTTTCCTTTTAGCTACTAAATCAAACTGTCATTAAATGTGACAGTGCATTATATGTGTATTGCACTTAATACACTGCCGAACCTTATATTATGTGGATTTCAAATGGAGTTCATCAAACAAAAGGAGAATGTATCTTCCATAGTAGTCCTCAACATAATCATCCTTTCACATACTAAACAAAGACGAGAGGAAAAAGATCAGTTGAACACTAAAAACACACTCTGTATATCCATCTGATAACACAAAGCACTTC